GACAAGTTAGTCAGAATTCTTGAAACAGCAATTACAAGACTTCAACAATGTAACTAAACAAGAGATTATGCCTATCTATAAAATTAAAAAGAAAGTATTAGCACAAAAAACAAAGCAACTTAAACAACGTACATTGAAAGAAATGTTTAATAAGGTAAACAAATAAATATTAAGCTTTTTCTGTAAATTTTGGTACCCTTTAGATCATAAATACTTCATTTTTTCATAAATCGCGATATCATATTTTAATTTTATAATTTCTACATGCCACCTTACTAGACTCAAACTGATGATCCGGAAAAATCCCAAATCCGGAATCACCGAAGTCCCAACGAGTCCGGATTTCGGACTTTGTACTGTATTCACATTTTTAATGGCAATTTCTCCACAACTCTATTCAATTCACCTTCTGAAATTCTATTCCCCCTCCCAAAAAAAAAACCACTAGCATTCATTTTTTCAAATTATTGCATTATTCTTCATTTGAAAGAAAAGTTTCATAAATTAGTATGGAAACCTCTATGTTTGTGTTTTCATTTATTCCCATTATAATCAATTGACAGTTATAATCTGTGGAAACTATTTGAAAACTAGAAGAAAATACTGGTTTTTAACCTATCTGACAAAAAAAAGGGGGGGAGAAAAAAAACTATACTTTCTGTATAAAAAAAGTTTAATACCTTTAACCCTCAGCTAGAGGGGTTGGCATATGGTACAATTTTAGAGGGGGCGGCATATGAAGTACTCCAGGTTGTTTTTGGAACCTCTGCTTCGTGTTTGAAACTATTTAATCTTATTCATGGCATTAATAAGGTGATTCGTTATAGTAAAAATGATGTAAGAAAAAGAATAACAGAAAAAAAGCAGTAAAGATGGAAAATACAAATTTTTAATTAATTCAAAAAAATGAAATGCACTAGAAATGTACTTTAAAGTTATATAGTATTCTGTATTATTTTCTGTATGAAAATTATAAGATCATATATCAAATTTACAAATGATAAATATTCCGTAAAGAAAAGTTCGGTAAGTAATAAATTTTCACAAATGAAAAAAATTAAAAACCTTTTGCTACTTTAATCCTCTTCAGATTGTCCCTGTTCACTGCAGCAGGGTTTGCAAAGTTGTACTACCTTGCCTAGATGATTTTTGCAGGTGAACTTAGAATACTCAGAACATTTTATGGTAGTGTAATTATTCTTTATTCTACTTCACTCAGCACAGCATCCTTTGATCTCTTTTGAAGGTGGTTCCTCGTCCCTTTCAGCCATCTTGTCCGCTTCTGTTGTTACCAGCCTTCTAATAATAGCTTTGGAATGCAACAGGAGAAATGGCATTTTCAGAAGATTCTGAAGATGTGGTTTCATCAAGATGTAGCTAGATTTTTCAAAAAATATCTTCTAAACTTGATGGTTGCATCAGGTTTGGTGATGCTCAAGAGAACTTGCGAATTTATGCCTGCTACGTTTAGCAGTGCAAAAAATATTGCCATTGCCCACCTCTTGGTTTTTCGGGCGACAGTGAAATGACTACAAAGTTGGTCTACGGTGTCAACTCCGCCTTTACATTTGTTATAATCCAGGATTACGTGAGGTTTATTCATTTCCTGGTCAATTTTGTCATCATCGTGTAAAGTACTAAGCAGTATTACACACTTATTTTTTTTCGTTGCATATGAAACAATTCTTGTTTTGGATGGCTGGAATTTCCTTTTTATTTTTTCCAGCGTGCCCACAAGTGTTATTACCTTTGGTAAGAAGATACTGAGCTAGCGGGTAGTTTGTATACCAATTATTTCTCATCAGTTTATGGTTGGAACATTCGTATGCACCAATTAGCCTTTTGGAAATGTCAATACTTGAATTAGAAGCCTCCTAAGGTCCCGGGGGTTGATTGCCACAATAAATTTCAAGCTTCAATGTATAAAACGTTCGTGAGTCAACAACTGCAAAAATTTTCAGACTGTAGTTTGCAGGCTTGTTGGGGATGAATTGAATAAAAGAGCCTCTTCCGCCAACAGGTTCCAACTTCTCGTCGATTGTGATGACCCTTTATCTATAAGTGATCAAATTTATAAACTTATTCTTACCTTGTGTAAGAGTATGTATACAGCGAGTTTGTCACCTGGTGTATAAAAGTTTTGACAGTTCTGATTGAAAGATTCAAAACATTTTCTTAGTGCAGCAAGCTTATGAGTTTTTCTTCTCACATACCTTGTGCCTTTATCGTCGAATCTAATAGCAGCGCACAGGTTTCTGAATCACTTGAGACCCATGACCCCTTGCAAAATTTCAATTCCAGTACCGTTTTTTGCCCATGCTTCCTCCAAATTGAGTTTTGATAGTTTTTCTGCACCCTAATAAGAATAAAATTCCTAAAAAAGGCCACATTTCTGCTCTATTAGTACCATACATGCTTCTCTTTGATATGTTTTGGAGATCATCTGCAATCCTGTTACATTTGAGATAAATATTTGTATATTGTATGACAGCATCAATCATATTTGTATTTATGATTTTCTGGAAAGCTAGAAAACTCATCATTTATATTGTTACAAGTTTTGGCACTTTGGAATATTATTTTCATCAAATTTTTTTGGAGGCGATCTGGCGAATTTGCTCTTGAGGGGAACTTTATTTCACTTATCAGATTCCTTTTCTTTTTTCAGAAACTTTCCTTCAACTTTCTTTTTGCAAATTGTTTTTACAAAAAAGCCCTCATATTTTAAATCCTTCATGTCAGTTTCAACATCACTAAAATCGCCATTTGTTGGGGAAACATCATTTGAGAAAGGAAAATGAGGGTGATTAGAAACATTTCCCTCAATTTCTGAATCACTTTCATGATAGAATGTTCGTTGACTTCCGATTCATCGACATCAGATGCGTTATCCAAATTGTTGGAGTCTCCATCAACCGAGACTTCTAAAACGTGCAAATAATCTTCAGGAGGTACAACAATATTTCCGTACATACTTGGAGGAGCGGCGTACTGTGTTTGCCTACGCGACATGTTCACAATAACAGCTTTCAGAAGGAAGGCGAAAACCAAACTGATCAGAAATACCAGATTCATTGCACTCATGGAATGTTTCTAGGAGGGTAGAGGAAGGGAGGAAGCTCAGGAATAGGTTGTCTAAAAATTACAGCCCAAAAGATAGCATTGGCGTACTCTGTACGCCGGCTCCTCCATTGCAGGATTAAAGGGTAGCAGTACACTTTCCTGAAAGGAAAGATTAATAAGAGATTCTTATAATAATCTCAAGTAATAGCTGCCTAATTAAAATATTCAACATCTTTGTTAATGTGCTCTCCTCTATCTAAAATCTATTTTCTACATTAAAAAAGATATAAAACGATAGCTGTGGCTATTAAAAAATCTAGTTGAGGTGCTTAAATATACCTGAATTTTATGATACAGCTACAAGTAATACAAAGTTTGGTCAGCCTTATTGTATATAAAAAGCAGATGATTCATATGATCTCTGTCATAATTTATTACAAACATAAAATGTTGAATTTTTCATGTAAAATATTTTTCTAAAGTCAATCAGTATTCTTCTATGGTGCTATATGGATATAAATAAAAGATAATTCTCAGATAATCCCATAGGATTGCATATTCATTTAACATTACCTATGAACAAATAGCTATTGAAAAAAATTTACAGAGGTGATATTAATGAAAAATTATTTAAGATCAATAGCATCAGAAGAATATTTTACTGATTTGTCAATGCTACCAAAGAAAATGATAGCATGGATACTTCACATATAAAAGATCTAATTAAAGATTTTGTAGCAACTAAAATTAGAATAAAATTGTAATGAGAGGTGTATCACTGTTCAAAACATTTAAAATTTTTTTTGGCATGAGTTGAGAATATGTATTTGTTTAGATGACAATTTATAATTATACATATACAGGGTGAATATGAACAAGTGAGCAAAACTTTAAAGGATGACAGGAGGCAGCTATATGAGCAATATTTGTCATAGAATGTATGGTCAAAATGCAAACTGCTAGGTGGCACTGTAAATAAAGTATAAAAAGGATCATTCCTTGCATCAGTGGCATTTTCTACTATGGATTGCTGGTTATACGAACCACAAAATTTCCAGGGCGATGGATTGGTCGAGGTGGTCTCGCAGCTTGCCCACCAAGATCATCTGATCTCTTGTGTTTGGACTTTTTTCCGTGGGGCCACATGAAAGCTTAATCTACGACTGCCGCATTGAAACCAATATAGATATAGTCGCCAGGATCACTGTTGTTGTCGGCAATATTCGGGAAATGCCTGGTGTCATCGCAAATATGCATCAATCTCTACCCCGCAGGTGTGAAACCTGTATTACAGCTGGCAGAAAGTCTTTTAAGAAATTTCTATGAGCATGTTCTCTTAATAAAATGTTTTCTGAAGCATGTCACAGTGCAAAACTACCCTTTAACTTCTTACTACTTACGTTCGGACCCCGCATTCTATGACGAATATTGCTCATTATGGCTGCCTTCAATCACCCCTAAAGTTTTGCCCACTTGTTCAGATTCACCTTGTATATAGGTATATTCAATATATTAAATAGAAATTTCTTGAAATTAATTGCTTTTTAATTTACAGATAATTATATTTTATGAAGCAAGGAAATAAAACTTTATACAAGCGTACCTCCAACCCAAAGGAATGAACCTGCTAGAGAATATTTTACAAATGGTTTAAGAAGATTAGATGCAATATTCAGTTCAAAGGACAGAACTTCAAAGAAAGATTCAGCTCAAAGAAAATGTAGTATGAATTATACTGATATTTAAATATTTCAAAATTTTTATAAACACATTCACACTTTCTAAAGGCGGTTGTAAAATACTAATTATTGGTTTATCTTAGCATTTTGTAAATAAACAGCATATCAACAGAAATATTTAAGTATATTAAGGACAAACTTGATGTTTTTATATAACCCTTTATCTATAAGTGATCAAATTTATAAACTTATTCTTACCTTGTGTAAGAGTATTTATTATTATGACGATTGATAAGTAACTTCACGACAGGCTGTAAAAGAAGATAACAAGTAATAGATAAAGAATTACACTTGAAAATAAAAAAATACATAAAAGTCAATACATACACATGCATAAACACTGAAATGCAGCAACTAAAATTAAGACTTCAAGGACAAATATGATGTTAAGAATTTTATTAAAAAAGTATTTAAAAAATAAAACTAATATACAGCATAAAGGATTTATTTACATAAAATTTTTATACTATGCTTTACCAAAAGAACATTTCCTTAATGTTTTAGAAAGTTACTGAATTTGGTTTGATTTCTATATAAATAAAGATTTTAACTGTGCACTCAAAGAAGAATTACTCCATATTTTTAATAAACTTTCATGAATGCCACAGTAACTGAGAAATTTAATGTAAAGCATAAAAAAAAATACATCCAAGTTAAAATTCATATGATTATTGGAAAAAAATTAAATAAACGAAAAAATCTTGATTATCCAAATTTCAGCCTACCACTTGAAAAGGGATCTGTAAGTGAAAACTATTCTTTGCTACGTAAGTCATGGGCACTGCTTATTTTTCTTGGGATTCTGCAAACTTTTTTATAATTAGTAAATAAGGTAGAAAAATGATTACGTGAAAAAAATTTGAAATTGATAATTTAATAAATGGCGGAATTGATGTATTTTACAATGTTAACTGAATGACAAAATTGATTTTCTTGTTTTCATTAAAAAGAAAATATACAGGAACATGTTATGCAGAGTATAGGAGAGAGAGAGGCTCTAATATGAAACTTTTCTGTGAATTTCTAACAGATTTGGTTTAATTCATAGTTGATAAAAATGCAAAGTCTGTTCGGAAAGTATCCATTTACTTCATGCAATTTTGGTTAACTTTCAAAGAATTAGAGTAAGACTCAACTGTAAGGAGTTAAGCCACTCCACCTTATGGCTACTCAGTTTGGAGGTAAAATGCCATTCAGTAAGCAGTAATCATGATCAAACTTTCCCTTAAAATACATATTTATTGGTAGAAATAATTCTGATACCTAAAAAGATACTATAAATAATGCAATAAATGAAACCCAGATGAAATTACAAAACTTCTCAATTTGAGGTTCTCTGAGGTTTGAGGTTTGCGAAGTCTTAACCCTCTGGCTGATCATCCCGCAATTTCCACAGGCACACAGATGTAGCAAAATTTGCTTATTCCGCGGGCATATGTTTTTCTTCCTTTATTGAGGAGCGCATCCTGTTTTTTCCCATTTTAATCATTGAAATAAATTATATACAGTATTAGGCATTTAGTTTACATTTTGGACAACAGATATTGTTAGTTGTCCACTAAATTGCGGCATTTGAAGGCATGTGGTATTAGTGCTCAAACTTCACTTTTTGCCACTTTTTTCTTACAGAAATGGCTGCTAGAAAACGTTCAGCGATTATCTTGATTATTTAATTAAATTATTGAATTATTAATTTGATTATTAATTCGATTTGTTGAATCTGGTGCAAAAACTGTAAAGTTGGCCTTTGCCTTGAACCCTGTTTTGAACTCTATCATACTAAACTGCATTTTTAAGGAGGTATTTTACCCTCAGTGCTTTATACTTTCTTAAATTTTATACATTTTACTTTTTTACATTATGTAATAAATAGAAATTAACTGTAATTAGACTGATTGAAATTTAAAAAAAAAAAAAAAAGATTTTTTTTGCTGATAAATTATTTAAAAAAAGATTTTTTTGCTGATAACATCTGAAATTGGTTTTTCTGGCAACTTAGTTTCTCATGATACAAATCTATATAAAAAATATTTTCTAGAAAGAAAAAGTGCCTTTTCCAATTCTCCAATATATATAGATTTAAAATATGCACACACACACACAAACAAACAAACAAACAAACAAACAAAAACAAAAACAAAAAAAAAAAGCAATTTTGGAAGCGATTTCAATCCACAAATTGAGCAGTCAGAGGATTAACGGATATGTCAGTAATACAACACTTACTTAACAGAATCACAGTTTTGATTGATTAGAATGTGACAGTAACTATTCATGTAAATCCTTTTTATTCTAAGCTAAATAACACCTTGGTCATTTCATTATTTTCTAACATATTCAAAGTGGCTAGATATGGGCAGACTTCATACGCTTTCACAACCTTTTTAACCTCACCCAAAGAGATTACCCATGTAAAATAAAAAATTTGCTATTTGTTAAAATGATGAAACTTCTTTAAATAATACAATTTTACCATTTGCATTATACTACAAATTTCATATAAAAACAAAATACACAACTCACTAGGAAGAAGGGGCTCCCAGACCTGCACCAACCTCAGAGGTGATTCAAGGAGGCATAACCTTTGGTCAATCTAGGGAACTTTATGATACACACAGTCTGGGAATAAGTACATAAGTTACATGTGGGCAGCAAGCAACCACCAAAAAAGAGATCAAAGTAGACCATGGTCCCTCCCCAAGTGTTAACCAAGGGAAGACAAACCCTCAAGGACAACCTTTGACACCTAATCATGTAATGTCCGCACAAATAAAAGGCAGAAAAGACTGTACCAGTATGGTTCCTGCTGAGCCTTTACCTTCCACTGAACAAACAATGGTCACGGTGAAAACTGATTACTTAAGACAAAATACACAGCTAATATTTGTAAGTGAAATTTTTATTGCAAAAGTGATATACAGTCAAAAGTCTTTAATCCGGACTCGTCAGGACTTTGGCGTTTCCGGATTATTGATTTTTCCAGATTATAGATCATCAGTTTAAATCTGGTAAGATGGCATGCAGAAATTATAAAATTAAAAATATGAAACCGTAATTTATGAAATAAAGAACAATTATGATCTAAAGGGTATCAAAATTTACAAAAAAAAGCAGCTTAATATTTATTTGTCTACTTTATTAAACATTTCTTTCAATGCGTGCATGCGTAAAGCATACATTACGCATAGTCGAAATTCGAAAATTGCAACCAGAAAACTATTTGATGTGTACAGGGTCGTACACATTTCCTTACATGAAAATTAAGGACTTTTAAGGACCATCAAAGAAAAAATTAAGGACCTATCAGCAAACAAAAAGATGAATAGAATAAAGCAATTCCATACAACCGATTTCATGCTTGTAATTTCACTTTAAGAAACTGACAGAACTGTGTATTATGCACTATTATTAAATTCAATTTAATACTTACCATAAAACAATTTTGAAAATTAAACTAACTCCCTACAAGTTATGAAGTAGATAACATTAAATTTAGGAACATAATTTCTTGAAAAACATGTATAAGGTATTATTTTATTTTTACACTAACAACAGTCACTATTTTAGAGATTTACATGAATATTATTTAACTTATTTGATATTTATTTAAACACAGTCAACTACTATTATAATCACAATGTAAGAATATTTTACAGATTAAAATAAAACTGATTTGTAAACATACAATTTATTTCCTGGTTTTTTGTTTTTTTTTGAAAGATACTCGAATAATAAAACTGTACAATAAAAGATACAAAACATTTGTGCTTTTTTAAATCTGAAATCTTTTCAGCTATTTTAACATTTAATTTATTTATGTCTATTTCCTTTTCTTTAACTATTCTTCTAAGTTCATTTGCTTTGATAAACAAATCAATGTTCCTGCTGGTCTCAGCTTCATCTGCTAAAGCATCTACTTAATTCATTAATATCTTTAATGTCCCTTTGAAGAAATTTTTTCTTCTGCTTCATATAATAAATTCTTCCTCAATAATATTCTTTTCCTCTTTGAATTTTCAGATTTAGTTAAAGATTTTTGTTTTTCTAAATACTGAACGTTCTTCTAAATAACGAACTCCACTTCTTGCAGAAGCTGCTGCTGATCTCATTTCTCTATTAATTTCGATATTAAGAACACCTCCAGAAATTTTATTAATCAAAATACTGTGCGTTGAAAAAATGTATGATGAGTCACTTAAATTTTCAATTTCAATTGCTTTATTTACAGAGAAGCCCTTTCCACAGAAGCCTGTTCATGTGACAAGATAAGAATACTTGTCACAGTGAATACTTGAATAGTGAAAATATACATTTTTTACTATATATATATACATATATATAATTTATTTCCTAAACAATATTGATTAATTGATTATATTATCTTTTAAGTTTAATTAAAGTAGAATTATTTTAAAAGAGTGAATCCATACTGGTAAGTTATATTTTGAAAGATGTATATATATATATATATATACAGTACAAAGTCCGAGATCCGAACATCCAATATCTGGAATGATCTAAAATCCGGACCTCAAAGCCACCACCAACCAATTTTTTAGGGCTTTTTTGAAGGGAAGGGGTATGCTTTATGCACGCGCAATAGATTTTTTTCCTCACCATAAAAAAACATGCCGGAAATCCCGATTCTTAATCTCAGTTTGGTGCTAAATAAAATATCTCATTATTGCAGAAATAATTACTTTAGCATAAATTTGTGTGATTAGTAACTTGACTCCATAGCTGCGTATCTGCTTGGCATAATCTCAAACTGAAACATTTGTTAATTTTACACCAACTAATACCGTATTTATGCGAATCTAATGCGCATCCCCATGTTAAAACTTTAAATAATAAAAAAATTGTTTGTCGGCGAATGTAATGCGCATCAGTGGTATGAGGATTTATTGAATCTTATTTTATACAACAATGGATTTGTATAAAACTATCAATCAAGGTATGATAATTTTATTTAAATTTAGATACCATATTTTATACAACAATGGATTTATACATAAAGTAACAGAACAGAACATAGAATTAACCTATTAGTGGGTATTATTGTTAAGTGAAACAATCATTGTTAATTACCACTACCGTATATACGGTACATATCGTAAAGTATGAACATGAAATAAATGGTAACATTTCTATCTAGCTAATAGTTTCTACAATCAGTGATTAATAGTAAACGTCTTAGTTTAGTCACTATTTTGATGATAACTTTTTTAGTCCCCTTCTCTGTAATGGTGTAGTTTTGTAGTTACGATGCATATCAAACCAAATTGGCGTCTTGTCAGCGTTTGCCAATTTGCCCCATTGCCCCATTGAAAAATTCTTTTTCTTCCGAAGTGTGATGACAATACCGCTAAAATGTTAGTAGTTTTCCCTCAAAATCTGCAGGAAGCTTTTGGCATATTGTTATATGGCGTCTTAGAAATAAGCCCATCCGCTTCATAAACCGATCCACCCATCGACACTAGCTTTAAACTGTCATTTCGGTATTCCAAGAACTTCAGCCTCCACTTTTGCTTTATTTCTTATAGTGTCGCTAGTCACAGGTTGTCCATTCTTCCTCCTTTCACGTACAAATTCCAAAACTTTTTCTTCAATTTTAGGGTGTCTTTCTTTGCGAGGGCCTGTGAATTTCTTTCTACTAGTTTTAGTTGCAAACAGTGCCAATTTCTGTTGCCGCCACAAGCGAACATTGCTCTCAGCTACGTTGAACTCTCTCCCAGCCTTTCTATTGCCATTTCTTTCAGGATAAAGAATTACTTTACGTTTGAAAGTAGCGTCATCATATGACATTCTTCTCTGCTTGCCCTCCATTTCGTACTTACTATGCAGTATGCTCTAATAAGTATGCAAATGATGTGTCAACGGTTAAATGTAGTCGAGAAAAATGTATGGAAAATACAGTAATCCATTGTTACGATTTAAATTCGGTTGACGTCATTGGCGAACTTTGCACTCGAATCTAATGCGCACCCCAATTTTGAGTACTACATTTGGCCAAAAGCGATGCGCATTAGATTCGCGTAAATACGGTATTTTATATCCTTGATGCCGAAATCGTGAATCACTATTTATTGTATTTTGCTTTTATCACCGCATGTTTATCAACGGATGACAACTTGAGTGATGAATCATGCAGCGACGCCAAATAACAGAGTATTATCCGATTACAGATTTAAGTTTAATGCGCTAAAATGTTGACAAGGGGAGATTTAGCAGAAATTTCTTTCCTTATGCTACTAAAAATAGATTTTGTTAATGATACTCATAGGACAAACGATTATATTTAGTTCTATTTGAATTAAGAATAACTGATTTATTATTCACATAAAGCTAGAACCAGCGCCAGAGCTCGCATGGCCGCACCAGGCGGCAGAATTAGAGCGAAGTTTAAACAGAAGTTTTTCATTGCGATGACAATGCCCAATCATCAATCAATTAACGGAGGGCGAAATCTGTAGTATGGTTCTAAATCCAGAAAATACAGCTACCGATAGTGAAGAAAGAAAGTAACAGAGAGGTTACTGAACGAGAAAAAATTTTGATTGACAAGTTATTTGGAATTGGAATTCTCGACACAGCAATTACGGGACTTGAACAATGGAACTTAATAACTGAACAAGAAATTATATGTCTATAGTATTAGTCTAAAGTATTAGCAGAGAAAACAAATCAAACAACTCACATTGAAAGAAATGTTTAATAAAGTAAACATATAAATATAAAGCTCTTTTCTTTTGTAAATTTTGATAGCCTTTAAATCATAAATGCTTCATTATTTCATAAATCCCGATTTCATATTTTCAATTTAAAAATTTTTAACGTGCCATCTTAGTAGATTTAAAATGATCTAATATCTGGAAAAATCTCAAATCTGGGATCGCCGAAGTCCCTACGAGTCCAGACCTCGGACTTTGTACTGTATAATATATATATATATATATATATATATATATGGAATGTATATTTTCAATTAAACTTCTACCCAATAAACTTTAGTAATTCATGAAAGTTAATTTTGCGTCTAGTTAATTCAGGAAAATTAGTTTCAATTAGTTGTTTTCAGCTTTAAAAATATTAAAAAATTTTAATTAGTTAGTTATTTTCAACTAATAATTGTATCGCCATTAGCAAAAATTATGCATTACTATCAACAACATAGGTTTAAACCAAATACTTTAATGTCTATTGAAGCTTCAAAACGTATTTCCGAACTTCACTTTTTCTCGGCTAGCATTACCGAATTTGCCCTTGGCGAACCTAAAGTCGAAAATGGAGCCAACAGATTTCCCGCGAAATCGATAACAGACAAGCTGCTGCAAAAAAACTGATAATCCCGATATCCCATACATATAGTATGCGCAAAAGAGAATAAACTCCGCAGAAAGTGTGATAAAAAGTTAATTTATGGCTTAATTGAAACAAACACAGAAATTAAGCTAAGCAAAACCGCGTAAAAACAAATTGAAATGATAAAACGAAACTTAATTTTCATGTGAATGTTCAGCGCTGACTCTCCCATTCTAGAAATTTCAATTTGTTTCAGACAAAAGACCACATTTAAGGATTGCCATCCATCAATATCCAGTCCTTTGTAGTCAGCTTGAAGAAGCCACACAGTTTATTGAAAATGCACTTTCCAGGCATCTTCGTTCCTATTGGCGTCAGAAAGGGTTGTGGGCTTCCAGGTTGGGATTGCTCTAACTTTTGGCAAATATTTTCAGAATCCCCCCCCCTTTTTTTTTCGAAGCACCTTCATCATCACTTTTCGCCTCTTAAAGAACTTCCGGCTTCACGCTTTCGTCACAATCTGCCTAAATTTATGGATAACACCTGTTTCGAAAACATTGGGTGAATAGCCAATCAGACACCCGATACTTTCGTTCGGGTAGGCTAGGTAATTTTTTTTTTTTTTTTTTTTTTTTATCGTTTGCAACGCAAATCCGCCAACAGATTGCTTAAGAGCCGTGTAATTTTAATTCCATATTCATGAGAAATCGTAATTTACACTTAGAATGGCAATCATTAGAAATGATAAGAAATGTCAAATGAGCAAAATTAAGGACCGTTTATTCATTTTGGCCAAAATTAAGGACTTCTAAGGACCAAAAATCATTTTTGAAAAAATTAAGGACTTTTAAGGACCGTACGAACCCTGTGTGTACTCATGATATTTATAATGACGAGGAATTTGATTTAAATCGTATCAAAGACGGAATACATCAAGATAAAATACTACATTTAGTAAGGAATTTCAAGCTGAATAAAATAAAAACATCTGCCCTGAAGATAAGGATAGTGCTGACAGATGAACTTCCAGTTCATTTCATGCTGCGACGTTCCCCCTCCATCCCCCAGAGCAGCATGAAATTGATAAACAGATTTCGGAATGTTTCGAGAAACAAAGGATATGCCTTTATCCATTTTTGCAGCAATTCCACTTTTTGTTTGATGGACATCGAAACATACTTTTGCTTTGTAGATCCTTTACATATTAGTAAATATATATCGGAAATTCTATTTGACATAATCGAAAGTTCAAGCTTACTTTTGTAAAATTGCTCTAACAGTCTGCAAAAAATAATAAGTCGGATCCAATTCGAAGATTAATCCTTTGAGGCCAGAACTTTGGTAGCAGTAAAAGCTACCAAAGGAGAGGGAATCTTGAACCGAATGCTTTTCCCCCTTTAAGAAATCACCACCTATTTGCAACAAAGATTCTTGTGTGTAGTTTAATGGATTCTCAGAGGGGTACATCTATGTTGCAAAAGGAAGACCTTTGAAAGAGATAAGTGGTTAAAACCCTAGGGACGTCAAATTTGACATTTCACCTTACTTTTGAGCCTGGAAAATGGGGGGAAAAATACATGGCCACTAAAGTGGACAACCCGTCTTTTCAAAGAGAGGACTCTATGGCCACTATAATGGCCATCCCGTCTTCAAAAGGTTAAGGAACAATGCAATCTGCAACATTAGCTGAAATAGATAATTAGATAATTTTAGCTTAGCTTATACCGTCCGTTATACATTAAAATGCGCATGCACAGAAAGTTTGTAGCTTTGAGGTCCGGATTATAGATCATTCCGGATTAACAACTTTTGACTGTATTACTTTTTTTCTCAACTACTGGAAACATTTCATTTTTAAAATAGCATTTAACAACAGAAATTGGTATTACAAACAGATATCAGACAATTATAACAATGTGGCTACTGAATTTCAAATTATCATTGGGCAATTTTGATACAGATGGTAAAGACAAGTGAGAAATCGTGTAGCAGAATAACATAATGCATGGCAATAAAACAACTTTTATTAGATAGACTACAATAATTAATTATTTTAATACATATAATACAATAATTAATATAATTTGTAAAAATTTATAACAACTAAACTAAGAGGTTAAATTTCTACTAACTTCCCTTCTTGTTTATTTACTCACTTTAGTAGATGAACTAATGAGCATTTGTTCTTCTTTCGTAGAAGTTATCAAAGGAACCCTGCATATAGGTTCAAGTTCCATCTCCCTCTTCCTTAGAGCAGATTCACAACATTCACACAGTTCCTGAATTAAATAATATTTTGCTTCAGCTAAAAGTTCAGCTATTTCTCTAGTGGATTCGGGCAAGGGCACAGACCCATCACGAAGAAAACTTAGTATAGTACCAAAATGCCGACCACAGCGATCAATCAAAATCCAGCCTAATACATAAAAGAAAAAAAAAAAAAAAAAAAGAGAGAGAGAGATAGAGAGTGAGAGAAGAATAGACTATATTAACAAGTTTGGATTAATTTTTACTCTTACAAAACTGCAACAAATACATATACAAAATTTAATGTTTTAAAAATGAAGAATTGCACAGATATAAACAATTTATGTTAAATTTATGAGAAAATATCAGCAATTGCCCAAATCAGTTGCTGAGTAAACTCGCACTAGCTAAATCTCACAGTTCAATAACAATTAAAACAGCTACAATGATGAACTTCCTTAGACATATTTACATAAGACATGAGCTTTCAAAAAAGACTAGTTGTGCGAGAAGCACAGCTTGCATTTCACTCAAGCTATTTTTATATTCTGAATATTGTATTCTCAGACCAATAAAATCAACAATTCTATATTAAAAACAAACACACATATTAAAAAAAATAAATGTGGCCATAAATGCAAAACAAATAAATACATAAATAATACACCAATGGAATAAAAATGTAAATACTTAGATATATACGTATAACATTTAGATGCAACATCTATGGACTACATGTTCCAGACAGTGCAATCCTTAAGATGAGGGACAACTAAGCCTCATTACCCTTTTAATAAGGTGGAAGACGATTGTGATGCAATATCTTAGGTTTACTAGTAAGCTTGAACTTTCGATGGATATGTACTACTACATTATTTAATTTCTTGATCACATGGAAGAAACCCTCCCAGGATGTCTGCAGTTTAAGATACCTCGATGTCTCTTAGAATTTCACAACCAGACTTTACTTCCTTGAATTTACTCTCTGTGGACTAGGCATTGCATATCTTTCTCATTCTCTCAGTTGCTGTGTTGAACTTTGCCCCTGGTAAAGCAATGAACATCTTCTAAATGTATCTGCAGATCTACCAGATACTTGTAAAGTGAAGAAGGGATGTCCACCAATCGTCTGAAGATCAGGTCATACGGCAGATGAAGATCACAACCAAAATTTGCAATGGAGAAAATCCAGGGCTCTCATGAATAGCACCTCTGCACGACAGTTTTGGGTCGCAGCTTTGACTTACAAATAGAGAAAAATAGTCCAGTATTATAAAATTAAATACAATTAATTTTTAAATTATCCTTTTCAAGAATAAAAATTGTGCTGCTTTATCGACTATAACTGCAAGTATCTGCTCTTCTAAATTATTATATATATACGCATACATAGTGTGTAGCCCCCCAAAAACAACACAAAGTAAGAACTCAGTGGAATGTAACAACACTTGACATGCAAATACCCCAAACCCAGCTATGTACATAATTAAACATGCACCACCACTGAATACAGAAAGTTTGTATATGGAGCTGCATAACAGAGACCCACCTAACAAGGTCACAAGCACTGAGCGAGTTCATGCCATCTGACTGTGGATGTAAATGAGTTGCTCGATTCTCTTCTATACTAAGAATTCTACATACTCCTTTAAATATAGCAAATAAAAAGTTTCTTCCTTGATCAGAGTGAATATGACAATGCCGATCAAATTATGAAATCTAGTTTTTGCTAAAACTTCTGCAATGGTTGAAGATTCTAGATCAATGATGGCATAAGCTTCTGGCCATTTACTAAAGTAATCATGACAGCTATGTGGTACTTGTCCTTAGTTATGTGAGTACAGATGTGAGAATCCTTTCAAAATCCAGCAATCCTTTTGAATGGTGCTCTTATACTATAGCCCTGTTGTCTTTGTGTACGTGTTTGTGGGCCTTTATCAGCACCATGTGCACCACTTTTCCACATCTGCTTTAGCCTTGTCCCACAAGAAATGTTCAAGAAATTTATGTAGAACCTTATTACACCAAAACAACCTCCAGTAGTGCTACTATGAAGCCAAGAGAATATAAGGAACTCAAGGTCTTAGTAAAATGAGCTGCCACCTAAAAGTCTTTCTGTCACCAAATTCCTATTTGCAGTAGACAACTCCATCTTGCAGATGAAGAGAATCCTATAACCCAGTATCTATTTGTCTGGAGATTAAAGGGTGCTATTTCTTGCCAACTGGGTTTTTCAATCTTATTTTCCACTAATCCTATTAATGGTTGAAATTCATGACCTTCCATTTCAGCTTTTTTAAGTTCTTCACTGCTCCATGGATCAGTCTATTATGTTATAAAGTCAATGTTAATTTGTCTGAACACTGGACTTTCAAGCCCAATTTTCACTCACTTTTTGAACAGCGTTTGGCCTTTTTTGCACAAGGTCTTCTTGAAAGAGCATCAGTGATGTCATAGTCCTGTGTCTGCTGTATCCATCTAGCCACTTGACCATCTATTTTTTTTTTAAACCAAGCACTCAAAAAAGCATGGTTAATACACGACAAGAAGTGAAAGGCTTGCAGCAAGAAGGGCCCAGCTTCACTTTGGTAAATTGTGTATTCATGGGTCTTTCTTGTTAAAAAAAAAAATATTGTTCTTTGCACTGGAGTAGCAGTAAAAAAAATCATTTTAGTAGCACTTTTAATGAGGACAAACATTAAAAGATGAATTTTAATTTTTTTTTTTTTTTTTAACTTTCTGAAAATTTAAAGATGTGGAGCCTTCTTGCTGCAAGCCTTTCAATTTTCAGCCATAGAAATAGTAATGGAAATGTTCTGCTGCCTTCATGATAGCTAACAGCTCTTTTCTAGTGACATAGCAATTTCTTTCCAGTCTCAAGAAGCTTTTACTAATACAGGAAACAGCACCTTCTTAGCTGTCGATTTTTTGCAAAAGAACAACTCAAATTCCTTCACTGCTCATATATATATTGAGAATAAATTCATTTCCAGGATGGCTAACACAGGACTGGAATTCAAAGTGTTTTTCAGGGCCTTAAATTCTTCTTTTGACTCATCTGTACATGAAGACTTTTGCTTTGCTTTTGTCAGGTGGTGTAAAGCCCATGTCATTTTAGAGAAGCCATTGACCCCCCCCCCAAAAAAAACCGAATTATCATTAATTTATTAGGGATATTTTTTTTAATATACAAATGTAGATAAATCAACTTGTTAAATTATACTAAACAACAAATAAAACCTAAAATTGCATTGCAACACTGTAAAAGCAGAAAGGCTACAATAAATACACGGTTAGCATATATTTTAGGGTGCCTCTTGGATTATCACCAAGTTGTTTCATTAATGGTAACCTGCATAGTTGAATGTTATCGAAATCCTATTATGACGTGATTGGTTGCGTAACTGCAGTGAATTTGACTGATGGGCAAATATTTGTAAAGGCTTATTTCTGCATTTGATGTCAGTTAGGAAGTACATTGCGTATTATGTGCTTTGCATTGTAAAATGGCTGCCGGTGGTAAACTGAGTGTTTGGTGCTATAGAACAAGAGAGCAGAAGGTGTTTTTTTTTTTTTTTTTTAAGTAATTGCGGATAAAAGAAACTTTGTTGGATGTAATTCAGCGGAATTATAAGTGTCCTGTTTGTATGAAGGAAATGTGTATGGTTGAATGTAAAGATAATTCAGATAGCTTTGAATGGTTTTGTCGCAAGAAAGGTTCAAATGCTTACCATATAAAGTGCTCCATTAGAAAGGGAACATGGTTTGAAGAAAGTTTTTGGATGCTGTTAAAGAATTTTGTGTGCCACAGACTGAAAACACAGAAATTTCTAAATAAAGTAAGTGGATATTTCCTTTGTATAGTGCGTAGATTTCCTTTGTGTATTGCGTAGATGCGATAAGATTTATTTCCTTTTTTATGTTACTTCATTATTTGATTTAAAATGCAGTTTATTGAGATTATATATTTTTTTGTTTGGCTCTAGTGTAGAATTGAGTGCTCCTTTGACTTTTAAGTGAAAATAGATTGATGTGTACATAGACACCAAGTTTGTGCAATTCTTTGACTTGTTATTTTGGTTTTGTTTAACGACAATCTTGAAACTATGCATTGCTGACCAATTGCCAAAAATTGCCAAGGAACGCCCTTAAATATATTTTTACCTAAATATGCAGCCTACATGAAACAAAAAGGATGATTTAGTTTCTCTTTCAGGTATTAGGAATACCGTGTGTGAGCTGATGGTTTGTTAGTTAGTTTGTTTCAGAATGGCACACAGAAGAATGCATGCTTCAATACTCTTCTGTTATCAAGATAGGATTTAGAAATGTATGTATATATGGATGTTTGTGTACATGTATGCATGTATATACATGTGCACACACACACACATGCATACATAAATACATTTCTGAATCTGATCCCAATAACAGAACAGTACCCATGATTTTAAGATGGAAAAAAGAAAATAGGACTGTATAACCGTTTTAAGCAGCTGGATTCATCCATCAAAGTAGACAAATCCCTCATGTTTGCAAATTCTATGCCTTCCTGCCTTGTTTTTCTTTGATTATGCTTGAGATGACATGAAATTAGATTCTACATTTTTCAACTATATAATTCTTTGCAGGCCTTTAAAAACATTCTGCAAAAATATGTTCAACCTATATGACCTTACAAATTAAACATTTTAAAATTACTACACCATAAAACATGAATCAATAAAAATAAATATTCAGCATTATTTTTCATTAGGCAATAACATTATTAAGGTGTAACAACACAGATATTAAAGCAGAAAAGCAGTAAGATATAAAGCAGGACATACTTATACTCAGGTTCTTACATTCAAAATATATAAAGAATAGCTGACAAGAGGAGAAAATATCAAAACTCAATTTTATTGTGCATGAAATGTCATATGTTACATGAATAACATATTAAAAAATCAAAAACCATAAAACACTTAAATACAATATAAAAATTAGGCAGAGTAAAAAAGAAGAACCATTACCTTCAGAATCAGTCAGCACTTCCATGCGACCACTAAACATGGCCCGTAGCATGCTATCATGTTTGGTTAATGTTCCAATTGTTGTGTAATGCAATGAGCCACCAACATTAAGCTTTACATATTGACTAGGAGCACCTTTAATAACAGTTCTATGGTCCCCAGACATAACAGGCTTCCTTTTTGGAACCAGGATGACTGTTACAGTCAGCGATGTCCCCTAAATAAGTAAAATAAAATTCAATTCCAGTGAAAATTAAAATGCTGTACAAACTCGAACAAAGAAAGCTGTTAAAAATTAGCTGGTTGTTTGTTGATTGGATAGCACATATTAAATATAATCGTTAAAATCCAGATGCTTAGGTTCTAAAAACTAATATAAAAGGCAGGTAAAAACACCAAAAACTGTTAAAATAGGAATAATTAATTAAAAATCCATCATAAAAAAACAAAAGAATATGGTTAATGAATATGCAATATTGTATATTAAAAAAGAAAATAATTTATAGTGGTATGTCAATAACAGCAACCGGCCCATCTGAAAAGTGTTCTTGAGGCAATGCAATAATGTCGTCAAAATAGTTACGTGCAATCCATTATGTTGGCAAAATATAGCGCAAGGTGCACAGCAAATGAGTATTTCAGCACACGTGGATTTTCACCTTCCAAATTTGATGTCATTTTCCCATTTAGTGTTTCTTTCTGCACTGAGTACATTTTTCTTTTCGCATGACAAATCATAGCAACATTGTGGAGTTTGCTGGCTGATGAAAAAGAACGTATTGTATTTCTTCAGAAATACATTCCATAAAAATTCACATTTCATGAAGTTGTACTTTTTAAACGACTGAATTTTATGGAAATGCAATGCGAAAAATGGCAGATGCCGTATTTGTGCAATTCTCCGATTCCCCTTCCCAGGAAAAACAGATTGCTGCGTACATGAACAGAAGAACAAGAGCATGCACAATGCCCAATTTGCAAGCGACACTGAATTTGCACAATTCTCTTATTTTTTATGTGAAAACAGATGACTGTGTATATGGGAAGAACAGTGAAAACAAATACAGTCAAAAGTTTTTAATCCGGACGTCCATAATCCGGAATGATCTATAATTCCGACCTCAAAGCTACAAACTTTCTGCACATGCACATAATGCATTTACGCATGCACATTTAATGTATAACGGACGGTATAAGCTAAGCTAAAATTATGTTGCACATTGCGTTGTTTCTTAATCTTCGAATTGGATCCGGCTTACTATTTTTTGCAGAGTGTTACAGCAATTTTGTAAAAGTAAGCTTGAACTTTCTATTACGTCAAATAGAATTTCCGATTGTGGAGTTGACAAAGGATCTACAATGCGAAAGCATGTTTCAATGTCCATCAAACAAAAAGTGGAATTGCTGCAAAAAATGGATAAAGGCATGAAGAAAGTGACAGAGAGGTTAGTGAAAACGAAAAAATTTCAATTTATAAGTTAGTTGGTATTCTCGGCACAGCAAATACGAGACTTGAACAGCGGAACTTTGTAACTGAACAAGGAATTATGTGTGTTTATAGAATTAAAGAGAAAGTATTGGCACATAAAATGAAGCAATTTAAACAACTTACATTGAAAGAAATGCTTAATAAAGTAAACAAATGAATATTAAGCTTTTTTTTTTTTTTTTTTTTCTAAATTTTGATACCCTTTAGATCATAATTGCTCTTTATTTCATAAATTACGGTTTCATATTTTTAATTTTATAATTTCTGCATGCCATCTTACCAGATTTAAACTGATGATCTATAATCTGGAAAAACCGATAACCCGGAATCGCCGAAGTCCCGACGAGTCCGGATTAATGACTTTGACTGCACATAAGGATTTCTTGAAAAAATAAGTATTTTATTACAGCTGTTTCTTGTTTTTCTATTTTTTATTGATAGATTATTGTTTTTTTATGGTGCTCTTAGTAAGCCATTTTAAAAATGGCTGTTGCCTTTAATGTATTAGTTTAGTAAAAAAATTAGTCACCAATGAACTGCCGAATTTTCAGGAGGAAGGTGTGGATAATTAGAAAACACCAAAAAATTTAATGTTAATATATAAATTAAACATTACTTACGAAAACTGAGTTCTTTGCCCATTGTTGAAAATTTGTGTATATAATAAAAATTAATTAAATCTTATTTATGAAATTATATATTATTTCAGTTTCTTATTACTACCAAATATTTTCTAAATTTTTAAACTAAAAATTCCTAAATTTTAACTTCTGAATTTGTAACGCAATGGTATCTAGCATATAAAACAGATACGAGTAGTGAAAATGACCTGTCTATATCAACTAAAGTTTTTTATCATATGGTTAAACACCTGAGAAATGTTGAAGAAACTGTATGTATTGTCAGTCTATTGTAAATATACTAGGCTTAGTATGTCACATGCTAAATTTAAAAATTATTAATAATTCAAAAAGGCTTTATATATAATCTTATTACATATTTACCAAGGGTCTATTAACCCATTTCATCATAATTGCCACCAATGCCACCAGCAAAAATATTTATACAGTCAAAAGTCGTTAATCCGGACTCGTCGGGACTTCGGCGATTCCGGATTATAGATCATCAGTTTAAATCTCGTAAGATGGCATGCAGAAATTCTAAAATTAAAAATATGAAACCGTAATTTATGAAATAAAGAACAATTATGATCTAAAGGGTATCAAAATTTGCAAAAAGAAAAAGCTTAATATTTATTTGTTTACTTTATTAAACATTTCTTTCAATGTAAGTTGTTTAAGTGGCTTCGTTTCATGTGATAATACTTTCTCTTTAATTCTATTAAACAGACATAATTTCTTGTTCAGTTACAAAGTTCCGCCGTTCAAGTCCTATAATTGCTGTGTCAAGAACACCGACTAATTTGTCAATCGAAATTTTTTCGTTTTCAATAACCTCTGTCACTTTCTTCGCTATCGGAAGCGAATTATAATGACGAGGAACTTGTTTTAAATCATATCAAAGACGGAGCATATCGAGATGAAATACTACATTTGGTAAGGAATTATAAGCCAAATAAAATAAAAACATCTGCGCTGAAGATAAGGATAGTGCTGACAAATCAACTTCCAATTCATTACGCGCCGTTGCATTCCCCCCGCCGAGCAGCGTGAAATTGATAAACAGATTTCGGATTTCAAAACATACTTTCGCTTTAGATCCTTTACATATTAACAAATATATATCGGAAATTCTATTTGATATAATCGAAAGTTTAAGCTTACTTTATAAAATTGCTCTTACAGTCTGCAAAAAATAATAAGCCGGATGCAATTCGAAAATTAAGGAAACAACGCAATCATCAACATTAACTGAAATAGATAATTAGATAATTTTAGCTTATACGTCCATTATACATAAAATGCGCACGCGAAAACGTATTCTGCACTTGCGCACACTCATGCGCAGTCGTAAAAGGTCTTACGCGCACGCGTGAACGCCTCTGCGCATGTGTCAATGTGGCGCATGCGCAGAAAGTTTTTAGTTTTGATGTCCGGATTATAGATCATTCCGAATTATGGGTGTCCGAATTAACGACTTTTGACTGTACTTTTCTTTAACACTTACATAACAAACTAAACTGGAAAAATTTAATCTTTCTCAGCAATGATACAGCAGCCATATTAATTATGAAAATTATAATATTTTATGAGTTTTGTGTAGAAATTAATAGTGGTATGTCAATAACACCGTATTTTTTTAACAAACTTGCATTGCTTTTAAGCATTAATGACACTGTAACATATATTATCCCTTCTACTTATAAAAGGGTATCAGAACATGTCTTACAAGTACGATTACTACAATGATAAATTATTTAAAACTGAGACCAGTTAAATTAGGATTATATCAAAAAATTTTAATGTGCGAGAACTAACTTCTTTTTTAATACATAGACTTTCTAAGGATATATAAAATAACAGCTTTAAAATAATATATTTCTCGGTACAACTCTGATATACGCCCTAATTTCACCAAACGTGGCGATACGTGTTCTGCGCTGGTTTTTGGCGTGATTGCATGTTATATGTCAACTCTGTTCACATTGAAAAATCTTTAGCTGGAGTTCGTTGGTTCGCGTCATGCTCTGTGTCTGAGAGCTAGGGGGGAAAGATAAAATGGTTGAAGTGATTGAATTGAAGTTCGGCAAAAGGAAATATTGTCGTGTCCTTCCTGTTGAGGGGCAGTGGGTATTTGGAGGTGTGGAAAGAGGGTCTGGGAGATTATTTTTAGTGGCTGTGCATGATAGAAGTAGGGATTTGTGATTGTTATTTTATTTATTTGTGAACCATAGTATGAATTTTCTGGATAGTGTGTCTGGCTGTCATATAAATACGATAGTGATTACATGGCGGTATGAAATTGATATTTCTGCTGTTCGAAAAAGCATTAATTCATGGTAAGTGCATTTTATTTTATTCTTATTTTGTAGAATGTTATGTTCGTTGTTTTTTCAGTATGAATTTCTGTCATTATTGTTTTTTTGAATGGTTTGAAATTTATTTTAGTTGTTGATTAGTGCGTACCGTCTAAATTGTGCAATTTGTAGATGTTTTTTAAAGTTGAAACAGAACGCTGGGTTAATCTTCGGATTATGGTAACTTGGTGATTTTTTGGCGAAAATTTGGCGACCAACCCTGCTACAGCAAACTGCGAGGTTTTTTTTTTGGACGCCGTTTTGTTTTCACGAAGTAAAGGCATGTTTTTTTCTCTCTCAACACTTTTTTCCAACAATCTGCTAGCCGAATTACGCTTATGCTAGAACTTTTATGGAACAAAAGTGCTTAATCATGATGAAGATTAGGTGTGAAATTGGGAGAAAGTGCAGAATCGCCCACTGCTTGCCGTGTTTTTAAGAATTGCACTTACACGGTATCCATGTACACGTCGACCTATTTTCACTTAAAAAAACATCCCAGAATTGCACAAAAATGGCACTGCGCACACTCTTGACTTTATCCATGTAAACTACTAAAGTCCTAGCTAGTAACCTTTATCACCTTACCAAAATGTCGCCAAACTACCTGTTACCATATTCCAAAGATTAGCAGTTTTTTTAAGTTGAAACAGGACGTTGTGTACATGGTATTCTTTGAAATTTATTATTGTTATGTTCATTTATTAAAGCGAGGTGTGCATAGTTCTTAGCCCAGATTCTGCCATTCGTAGATATGTTTTTAAGTTAAAACATATCGCTGTGTACATGGACTCTTGTCAAATAATTTTGATTAGAAACTTTACCGTTTTGCCATATAAATTTTTTGTTTTTGTTTCGGAATTTTAGCTTAAATTGTGCATTCAAAATGTGATTTTTGCATTCGCGAAAACCGTGTTTTTGGGAGACATTTTAGGCTTAAAGTTGGAAATCTAGACAAAAAATTTAGATAGCAATATGGCAGCATAGAGTTTCTCACCAAAAATGTTTGGTGACTTGAGGGAGCATAGCAGAGTAGTTCCTATTTCTCTTTTTTTAAGATGTATATGTGTTGTATTTTATATGTGTTGGGTACATGCTCAGTGATGATTACAAGATGTACACAAACATCGTTTATTCTACATTACTCATCTACTATACTATATTACAGTTATAGTTAAAGATAATAATAGATACAGTTAGTTACATATATAACATCTCCCTTTTTTTATAAAAAATAATAATAGTAGTAAAATTAAACATATTCTTTTAAATAATAAGGTTTCTTAACAGTCCTACCAGATCGAGTGACGTAGTTATGTCCATTTGAAAAATTTGATGATACTATACCTCTTTCACTATTTGGTGACACAACACTTCTGTTAGATTTTGAAGGACTTGCAGGCACATCTAAATTTGTAGTGCTCCTACTATTTTCATGTATCTCGGGTTCATCTATAACTTCATTCTCATAGTTGTTTTGTATTGCAAACTCTTCCTGATTAGTTCCTTTAAGAAGGTCTCTTCTGTTCCTTTCTACAATTCTTCCATCTGTTCTTATAATCCTATATGAACGTGGTCTTTGCTTCTTCTATATTTTCTCTCTTTCATTTAGTTTTTTCCCTTTCTCTTTTATGTAAACATGATCTCCTGTTTTCAGTGGTTTTAATGGTCTTGCATTCCTATCATAATAACTTTTTTGTAAGGTTTGTCTCTTCAGTAAGTGTTGTTTATGGTCTTCATATCGTTTAGCTTGGATGAAATTCTCTTTTATAGGCATCAATCCATTTACTTTTCTTCCAAACATCAATTCAGAAGGTGACTTAATTTCATCTGAAATAGGAGAGTTACGATATTCCAATAAAACTAAATATGGATCTTTGTTGTCAACTACAGCTTTTTCTAACATTCGCTTGACAGTTTGAATATGTCTTTCAACCATTCCATTAGACTGTGGGTATTTTGGACTTGAAGTTTCTGGTTTCAAAATTCCATCTTCTTGCAAAAATCTTTATATTTCCTGCAATTATATTGTGGACCATTATCCGAATATACTATTTTCGGAATACCATGTCTTGCAAAAATTGATTTCGATTGCTTTATCACTGCTACACTTGACAAATCTTCCAAATGTCCAATTTCAACATATTTGCTAAAATAATCATAAACTATTAGATAATCCCTTCCTTGAAAGTAAAAGAGGTCTGTTCCCAATACTTCCCATGGACCATTAGGTATTTCTTTAGATATCATTGGTTCTTTAGTATTAGCTTTTTGTAAACTTAAACAGTTTTGACAATTCAGTACCAAATCTTCAATTTCTTTGGACATTCCTGGCCAATATAATATTTCTCTTGCTTTGATCTTGCATTTTACTACTCCTAAATGACCATAATGAATTCTGCTTAAACATATCTTTTCATAAACTTCTGGTACAACAACACAGGAATTTTTAAATATTAATCCATTTGCTTCTGATAGTTCTTCTCTGAAGTTAAAATATATGGTTTTGCCAGTTCTGGAACATACATTTTTCATCTGGCCATCCAGTTTTATTTTCTTAAACTTGTAGTTCTTCATCTTTTCTGTTCCAGTTGAAAAACTTCCATTTTACCATTAGACATTGGTATACATTCTACAACTAATCCAACATGAGCTTCTATTTCTCCTTCACAGAAATCAGATCCTTTATCAGTGAATGATCTTGATAATGCATCTGCTATAAAAAGTTCTTTTCCTGGTTTATATTTTATCTCAAACTGATATGGCTGTAATCTTTGTACGCATTCTTTGTAGTCTTACAGGGCATTTATTTAATGGCTTTTTAAAAATTGATTCCAGTGGTTTATGATCACTTTCCACAGTAATATTTTTTCCAAATATATACTGGTGAAAATTCTTACACGCAAATACAATAGCTAAAGTTTCCTTTTCAATTTGAGCATAATTCTTCTGTGTATCTGTTAATGCCTTAGATGCATATGCCACTGGTAAATTATTCTGCAGTAAGACTGCTCCTAGTCCTTCTTGAGATGCATCTACAGATAAAAAACTACTGGCATGTTATATCAT